TATCCCACTGTGCCACCAGGGATCCTGCATTACTAACAACTCAACCCACTGCCTGTTATTTAGAACCAACATGTAGCTGACCCTCCCTCCACTGAATTCCCAAGGTTGTAACTCACACAGGAGACTGTCCATTTTTCTCCTGTGGAGTCACTGGTGGATTCGAACCACCAGAGAGACACAGTACGTAGGTTAGTAACACCCCTCTCTATGCACTACACCACCAGAGCTCCCTGAACAGGCCCCACAAGAGGGGAAGCTTGAATCAAATTAACTGTTTCTGTGGGTATGGGGATCTCTCCAAAGTGCAAAACAGGAATGACATCAGTTTAATGACTAAGTTGCATCTGATCAAGCCATGATCTTTTTTACTATTGCTGACATACTCTGGGCATGTTGCAAGGAGGAATCAGTCCTTGGAGAGGGAGGGATGTCATGCTTGGAAGGATGGACGAACAGCGCAAGAGACAACAAGGTTGGCACAGGATAGAGAAGGGTTCAGGGATACTGTACATAGGGAAAGAAAAACCAATCCCTTTGAGTTGTGGTGCTGAAGAAGAGTACTGAATATCCTAGGGATTGACTAAAGGATAAATAGATATGTCTTGGAGAAAGTGCAACCAGGATACTCCTTAGAGCCAAAAATGGTGAAACCTCATCTTACACATGTGGGCATGTTGTTAGAAAGGGTCAGTCCTTAGAGAAGGGCATCATGCTCGTAAAAGTGGAGAGTTAGCATAAGAAAGGAAGACCCTCAACAAGATGGACTGACACGGTGACTGTGACCAGGGGTTCAAGTTTATCAGAGAGATAAGAAGGATGGCCCAGAACAGGTTACGGTTCAGATGTTGTTCATAAAGTTGTCGAAGACTCAACAACAACAAGGGCATCAACAAGTACTCAGAATGAGTGGGTAAGTCATCCCCCTCTGGTAAACGAAACCATAGGTGGGTGTGCTCAAGAGCTAAGATGTCCCACCCCGAAGTGACCAACTTGGTCAGCAGTTTCACTCCTCCATGCGAATGCCTGGAGACTGGTCAGAATGACAGAAAATAAAACGTTCTCTCCCCCCAGTCTCCTCCAGTTACAGCGTGCTGACCACTGTGACGGAAAGCCAAGAACCTCCTCGTCAGGCACATTTACGAAATACATTGGCTTTCACACACTGTTCCCCAAGCACTTGGCCCATAGACCAGCTCACACCGTATCAGATTCAGAAAGTGCTTATAGGGCACTTGTTGGCCTCAAAAACGATCCATCAGCTGTCAGAAAAGCTAAAACCCATCTTGGCTCTGGTGAAACACTCAGGGGAAATACTCAGGCCGCTTTGGTCAGACTTAGTAAGTTTTAACAAAATCCAGGTGAAGGTGTCTAACTGGAAAAAGCAGAATCCTAAAAGCAGCTGAGAAATTATTCTCTCCAGAGAAAAGATGGAAAACCAGCTGTATGTACCATGGCAGAGGGCAGTTGGAATTGGGTTTCACAAACGAGGAACTTTCCAGTAACCCTGATCTAAAACAGTGGTTTCTAAATGTTCTGGAATTGTGAGACCCTCTGATATTTTCCTCCACACCTTGGAAGCCTCAGGTTTTGCCTTATAGGTAACCAAGCTGAAAATGTTACTAAATCTACTGACAAATGAACTAAATCTTAGGATGCTTCCAACCCTCCACCCTAATACCACTGACAAAACCACTAAAGAATGTAATTTAAAAATAATCTCATTTATATTATACAACCTTAGAGAGATGTTATTATATATCTTGGAAAATATGGAGGGTCTGTGAAAGAGAGGAAGACCCTCAATTAGATGGGCTGATACAGTGACTGTAACAACAGGCTCAAATATATCAGAGACGGTAAGGGTGGCACAGGGCAGGCCAAAGCTTAGGTATGTAGTTCACAGGGTTGCTATGAGTCAACTTGATGGCACCTAGGAAACTGACGGCTTAGCCGTAAGGATTTGTGCTGTCAATGGAAAGGGATGTAGTTCGAATCCACCAGCTGCTTCACAGGAAGAAGATAGGCAATCTCCTCCCATGCAATTTATGCCTCAGAAAACCCACTGGAGGGTCAGCTTTGAGTTGCTTCTGACTCGATGGTACACAACAAGTGGTAGGGAGATGTGCTGCACAAAGGCACAGTTCAAATCTACCAGGTGCATCATGGGAGAAGGACGGGTAATCTCCTCTCGTGTGACAGTAACTGGGCAGCAGTCAGTTCGGGATACCATTGTGTGGGTGAAGTGAGCTCTGGTGGCACAGACGGAGCCGGTGGCCCACCCAAAGGCCACACCTCTCTGCCAGCTTGAACCCACCCATGGCTCCACAGAAGAAAGATGGGCAATCTTCTCCTAGGCAATTTCCAGCTTCGGAAACCCAGCAGGGTGTCAGCTGAGTCGGTTCTGACTCGACAGCAAGGAGGAAGAGAGAGACTCTGTGTGAGAGACTTGAGGAACAACATTCTGGAAGTCTAAGAGCTGCTGTTGCTCGCTGCTGTAGGATCGGCCGTAGTTTGTGTGCAGAGCCAGCCGCACGGTCACACCTGCAACCCAGAAGGGATGCACTTACCATGTGTGAGCCCTCAGTAACGCACAGGCATGCTTTTTATAGAGCCCTGGGCTCCCCAGTTGGCTTTAGGTTTGAAACTCTAAGCTTCAGGATGAAAAAAGACCCAGGCACCGTGTCCCTACTAATAACAGGGATCAATTTTCCAGGCTCGCAAGAGACGAGAGAGAGCTGGGGCCGGGAGAGTTGTGATTATACAGAGATCCAAAGCGACAGAGCAAGACTGTACCCTGAGTAAGCAAACCTGCCAAGGCCCCTGCTCACCCAGCTGCCAAGCTCTTCTGGGCCCCTCCTGAGGCCCCCCATCATCCTCTACTGTCTCCCAACCCTCACACACAAGGGACGTTCGTGTGGCTCCAAGAGGATGCACAGGAGCTGGCAGTCAGAACGCTCTGCAGGAGATGACACTGCGTATCAGCTCCTTAATGAGAAGTTTTATGAGTTTAAGGCTAAACTCCAACATCATTTCAAAATGATTTAGAATAAACCACGGCAATATAGAGTCTGGGCTTTTGCTATTAAAATTCTACCCCCAAACAGCTGTGAAAACAAACCCGTCTCACTTTACGGGCTTCCTCCAAGTATGAGACCACCCCAAAGCCTGCTGTCTTGGGTCACAGTTAATCCTAGATACTTCAGGCAGCACTGAGGGGGTAGCTTCAGGAGCGAGAACTTTCTGTATATGCTCCGCTGACAACATGAAGATCAGAATGGAGAGGCAAGCAGAGAGCAAGAAGTGCCTTCAACGTTCAAGGAAAGAAAAAAGGTGGCAGTTCAGTGCTGAAGACCAAGGTTCGAATCCCTGTCAACACACGTCACGTGCAGCCACCACCCGTCTGCCAGTGGAGGTTTGCAGGTTACTGAGAAAGTGCAACCATAGTGCTCTTTACAGGCTAAGGACGGAGAAACAGTCTCACTGGAGAGGCTATTGCTTGGAAAAGGACATCATGCTTGGAAAAGTGGGTGGTCAGCAAAGGAAAGGAACCCTCAACAAGATGAACCGATGCAATGACTGCCGCCAAGTGTGTCAGCAATGATGAGGACGGCACAGGACAGGACAGGGTTCAGATCTGATGTTTACGGCATCCCTGTGAGTCAGACTTGACTCAACTGCACTTAACAACATGCTGCTGAACTGGAGCTCTGGTTGCTGCAGTTGCACTGCCAACCCAAAGACACACAGTTCAAATCCACCAGCTGCTTCAAGGGAGAAAGATGGGCAATCTCCTCCCAGACGATTTACAGCCTCTGAAAACCCACTGGAGAGGTCAGTTATGAGTTGGTTCTGACATGACAGCACATAACAACATGAAGGTGAACATGTTTCAGCAGAATGCTCAGACTCAGATGGTGTAAGAACAAAGGCCCGGTGATCGTATTCCAGTCAATATAAAACCTATGGATCACTAAGGACTGATCCCCAATGCTTCACAGGGACCAACACAAGACGAGGCAGTGCATGGTTCTATCGGGTATGTGGTATATGGTCATCATAAGCTGGGGGCCAACTAGGCGGGAACTTACACCAATAAGCAAGTGACTGAGGTACTGAAACAGCATGGGGAGAATTTCCATGTGCAATGGGTATAAAATCCCTTATTCACAGGCTCCTCCTCCCCCATGCAGAAATAATGAATCCCAAGCAAAGCTTGACACATCTTTTTATGTACAAAGGGTTACCAATACAGATGGCATTTTTTTCTTTTCATAAATAACCCTCTAAAAGTGAATAAAAACTACCTCTTAGCATAAAGAACCTCTCGTTCCCCAAAAATGTTAACTTCCCCTGGAGACTATTCTTAGCCTGATACTTGTGGGGCCTCCTGGGGAGAATAGGAGCCATTTGGGACCAAGGAGAGTGGAGGTGATGCAAAGGTTATCTGTTGCCAAGGACCTGGGAGTGATTAAACAGCTTCTTCCCAGACTTGGGCCGTCTCTCAAGCTGCTGATTTCATGGCCACTTATTTGTCTCCTGGCTGCAGCCCAGAGGAAGGGAGGAAAGGAAGCTATAAGAGGGTGAGGAAGTAAAAAACTCTGGGCATTTTGATGATAATACTAATAATTTTTTTAAAAACCCACTTGGTAATCATCAATGTGACCTAGCAAAGCCATGTATCTGATCCACAAGGGGGAAGAGGGTTAACTCAGCATTCCAGAATCTACAACAAGAAGCATGTCTTAAGAAGATAATTATGTAGCACCAATTTCTCGCTGTCTCTCAGGTAATTTTTCCTCTTCCTTCGAGCCCTCGGCTGTGATGGTCACTCTTGGAGCACAGCTCAGTGGTACTTCTCATCAGCCACACAGGCGGGCGTGAAGGGAATGCAGTCACACACCACAGAGAAAACAGGCGTCACCCAATGCAACTCTCCTGATGCCGGAAAAACGAGTTCCCCATGGGCTCATCCTGGGGTTGCTGCTTGGCCAGCCAGGCCTTTACTCAAAACGACGCAGGTGGTTGTACAGCGACTGCACGTAGGTGAAGACACACATGGGGTCCGGCTTACGGCCCATCACCATCATATCTTCCACCTCGATGAGGCGGTCACAGTTCGCCAGGTTCCTGAAACACAGACGCTTTTATCAGAATGGCAATCCTAGCAACCGGGTAGGCTGAGGCCCCAGCAGAGCCTGCATTGCTGTTCCAAGAAAGAACTCAAAGGTGAAGGTTCCCACCCCAAACAACAGGAGCACGGGCCTTCAAAGCTCTAGAGCCCAGTTTTGATTAATGGTAGTAAATCTTGCTTCTGAGGCTCTCAGTTTTAATTAAAAGAAACAGACTGCCTCATCTTTCTCCCAAAGAGTAAGCCAGTAGATTCAAACTGACAACTTTGCAGCTGGCATATTTGAACTGGTGACCTTTTGGTTGGCAGCCCAACACACAACTCACTATGCCAACCCAGCTCCTTAGGATTCCAACAAACCTGGTATGACCTTGAGAGTCTCTCAGTCTGATAACAGTATTTTCCATGCTCCCATATCCATGAACCACCTCTACAGTTCTTATTTTTAAATTTAGGTTTACTTGTACAACAATTATATTTTTTTGTTTTTTTATTATTATTAATTTTAATGAAAATTTGCAGAGACTTTGGATTTCCATTCATTCATTGTTGCACTTTTCTCCCTGCCTCCTCCTCCTCACCCAGTATACTCTTCTCTTTGAAAAGTAAAGGAAAAAATCTTTCATTGTTTTACAAACCTCCCCCCAGGTCCACTCCACTATGCAGCCTTCGTTCTGGACTCCTGTCATGACAATAATACCTAATCACATATCCCTTTTCTCCCTCATCTGTTTCAATGCGTTACATTATTTATCCCATCTTTCTCAGTCTCCCTCCAACCCCGATGTCAGTCCTGTTTTACAACAGTGGCACTATGCAGTATTTGTTCTATTATGACAGATATTTCACTCAGCATAATGTCTTCCAGGGTCACTCATTTTGAATAATTCATGAGTTCCTTGTTTTTCCAATACTGCGTAGTATTCCATCGTGTGAATATACCACAGTTTTTCTATACTTTCGTTTGTTGATGGGCACTTAGGTTGTTTCCAACTCCTTGCTGTTGTGAACAAAGACATGATAAACATGACAACTATATTTTTAAGTAAAAAAATATATTTCCACAAAAAAAGGAAATCAAGTGTGTATCATGAACCCATTGCCTAGCCAAAGTCAAGTTGGTTCTGACTAACAGTGACTCTTCTGAAGGAAGCTGTGTTTTCAAGAAAGGACTTTATCCCAAGGAGCAACAGGTGTATTTAAAGTGCCGACCCTTTGGTTGGCAGCCCAATAACTACACACTATGCTGTCAGGATTCCTTGCACATCACTTAAAAAAACCTCAAAACTCACTGATATCGAGTCAGAACCAATCCACAGCTAATACTGCAGCTGGTTTGGTTTTGTTTCTTCACCAGTTTACTTGCAAAATTCTAATACAAATTTGAACAAATTCTTTTAATTCAGCTCCAGCTAGTTTTCAGAGGCTGTAAACTGTACGGGAAGAGACTGTCCATCTTTCTCCCAAGGAGCAGCTGGTGGATTCGAACCACCAAAAGCTCCACCTTTAGGTTGGCAGCATAACTCCCTACAGACCAAGCCACCAGAGCTCCCTTGTATCATTACTGGTGGTGGTATTAGTGTCGTTGAGTCGAATACAATGCTTTGTGACTGTGAAAACCACATCTGAACCCCACCCCATCCTGCACCATCCTCAGAATCTCTGCCATGTTCAAGCCCACTCTTACCAGCCATTGTGTCAATCCATCTCTTTGGGGGTCTTCCTCTCTTTCTCTGACCCTCCCCTCCACCCTTCCCAGCATGACATTTTTTTCCCAAGGACTGGCCTGTCCTGACAATATGCCAACAGTATGGGAGACGAAGTGTCACATGATCCCTGCCTCGAGGGGCACCCTGGCTACACTTCCTCTAAGACTGACTTATTTGCTGTTCTGGTGGCCCATGGGGAAAAATCAGGATCAACTAGAGCGTGGAAAAATCAAGGTCAATTCTAAATAAAGCTACTGAAGCAAAATTCATTCATACACTTCCCAAATCTGTAGTTTTCAAAATATATTTTTAACCTACAGAAAGCCATTTTTCATGATTCAGCACACATTTACATGTATGTAAATACAAAATGTCACAAAAATATTTGCTGTTTTTCTTTCTTTTTTTTTTTAAATGCTGGCTCATGAAGCACTAAATTGCATTTAACAATCTGCTTAGTCATAACTTGAGAGCTTGTCTAAAATCTTGCTGGGCGTCTCCAGGGTCCAACAAGTGCCATGCTCTCTGGGGAACCTGATCTACCCCCTGCCTGGTGGTGCTAATGCATGTGGGAGCTGGAGAGAAAGCTGCTACCTCCACCCTTCCCAGCTCAAGGCCATGAGGCTTCAAGCCTGACGGAGGAGGGTGGGCACTATGTGCACATGACCAGGCAGAACCAAAAGGGCAAGAACAACTCCTCGGACCTTCAGTAGCAATGTGAACTTTACTGGTTCCAGGGGTCCTCAATCTGTTTCTCACCCTCAAGTCAGTAAGTGTAAGACCATCAAGGTTTATATCCCTCTTCTGTCCCCTCCTAGGGAGCTCTGGTGGTCTCACCTACAGTGATCTGATCTGTGCTGCTCACTCAAAGGCAACACTTCTCTGATGGTTCAAATCCACCAACAGCTTCTTAGGAGAAAGGTGGGCAACTTCCTCCCTTGCCATTCACAGCCTCGGAAGCCTGCCAGAGGGTCAGCTACGAGCCTGTTTTGAATCAATGGCAATGAGTTTATCCCTTCTTCGCTGTTTGACTTTAGCTAAAACATGTAACCTCATCTAGAAAATAGGAACAATACCCAGTTTCTCAACATCCAGGGTGGTGTGAGGATTCAGTTAGCTAATACATGCAGATCAGTAGCTGCAGCTCCTGGTCTACAGGAAGAGCTTGATAAACAGCAGAGATTCTCATTGTTGCTGTTTGAATTATCATGTCTCACTTTAAGAAGTGAGGAGTCACGCGGGAGGAAGGCAGGGGGAGGAAACGAATTTGAATCCAAATGTTGCTAGCTGCCATCATGTTGTTGCCCCTCTGACTCAGGAGTCCATCCCTCATACAAGGGAACAAAACACAGCCCAATCTTGAGTCTTCTCATGATCAGTTGAGGGGCCACTGTGCTCCACAGAGGTTTTATTGGCTGATATTTAGAAGGAGATTACCAGGCCTTTCTTCCTAGTCTTAGTCTAGAAGTTCCAATGAAACATGTTCAGCACCATAGCAACCTCCAAGTCTCCACTAACAGATGGGTCATGATTATGCATGAAATGCACTGGCTGGAATCCAACCCAGGTCTTCCCACACGGAACGTGAGGATTCTACCACTGACTCACCATACTGAATCTAAACACCTGAGTTTCGATCCCTGCTCTCCAAATACTTTCATCTTTGCTTACTTCCTCATTAAAAAAAAAAATTAGAACCTCACCTCTCCTCTCCTTTCCACCAGCATACTCTCAGAGAGTCAGACAGCAAGGAGGGGGTCCCCCACCTACGCCAGGGGCTAGGAGCTGGTTCCAATGGATCCGTAGTGCTTTGTACGCGGACACAGCTTAGAGGCAGCTCAAGGACCAGCCAGCTCTCTGGCCAGCTATTTCCAGAGACAAAGGTGGTAACTCTACCACGGGGCCCTGCTCAGCAGTGCTGGCCAGACGCCAGGCCTCCTATCAGAAACCAAATGTCAAGGCGAAATGGAGACATCTGTCAGGGATCCTATCGCCGCCTCCCCATGGGGGTTGGGGAGGACAGCCTGTAAGGGAATCCAACAGCCCCATGGGGTGATGAGTGGATTTGGCCCAATTAGCGGGCACCCTCTCTCCCCAGGACAGGCAGGGCACGGCTCAGGTCACTCTGACAAGGGCAGGCATGCAAAGGTGCTTTGTTGACAGTGAAGGGTTGCAGGTCCAGGTTCTTGCAGGAGGCCAGGGACCTGAGTTCACCTTCCTGATCTATCACTGTATTGGGTGCCCTCCTCCGGCCCCACAGCACAGGACGGACACCTCCCTTCCTGCCTGCCCTCACTGGCTACTGTCCTGAGGAACCCAAGGTGTGTGAGCAGGCTATGTCCATGTAACCACGATCACTGTCACTATCCGCAGAGTTCCCCCACATGAAATAAAGACAGCATTCAGATCCTAGAGCCTCAATCTCAAAAGAAGAGAATTTAACCACCACTCCATCTAAATAGCGCCCCAATGAGAATAGCAACATTACCACCAAATACCAGAGTCATTAACCCCATTTCGTGGTGACCCCAGGTGCATCAGAATAGGGTTTGGAATGGCTGATTTTTCTGAAGTAGTTTGCCAGGCCTTTCTTCCAAGCTGCCCCCGGATGAACCTGAACCACTGACCTTTCAGTTAGCAGTCCAGTGCATTAACTATTTGTACTACCTGGGAATTCCATCCACACCACTAACCACGTCCTCAAGAACCTTTCTCAACTTGCTCACTTCCAGGGGTTGAACTTACTTCTTCTCAGGACAGTCTACCTAATTGCTGTGTCAATGGTTCTAGCACGAGAAAGTGGTTTCCTATACGATTTTACATCGTTTACCTTTCTACCTGTTGGTCCCACAAGGTCCTGAGTCAAACTCACAAATCCATGTCTCTCCCTGCAGTTAAATATCTCTGGCTGCCTAACTGTTCCTCCAGGGATGAGGTGGGATCCTCCTGGTTTGGGTTCTTCCTAGCCCTCTTCACGAGGCACCCAGAAGTGCCAACATATCCCTGGTGCGGTACAGCCTGCACAAACAACCGCAGTGAGTTGACCCGCCCAGGATGGTCAGGGTGGCAGTTGGGTTAGAAGTTTTACTTCACTCAGACAAGAAGCCTGGAGCAAGGCACTGCTTTCCCCAGCAAGCAAACAGGGGATTTGGCCACCAACCACGCAGATTTAGTTTCCAATCACTTAGTCACACGCACCCTCGTTTCTGGACTGAAGAAGAATTGGGAGTGAGAAGGTTCCTGAGGAAGGGGACACAGCACGCCATCTCCCCTCCCCAGCTCCTCCTTTTCTGCCCCAGGACCATCTTTGTCCCTCACTCACTTCTCCCACTATCACCACTGTCAGCTGGTCCTCATGCACATGGAGTCATGGTGACTCCATGCAGCACAGCACAAAATACTGCCTCGTTCTGTGCAAGGGAGCTCTGGTGGCATAGTCCACACAGCACTGTGCTGCTTACCCAAAGGCCAAGCATCTCCCAGAGTTCAAATCTGCCTGCAGAAAGATGAGCAATCCACAGCCTGCAATTTACAACATCAGAAACCTATTGGAGGGTCAGCTATGAGTCAGGTCCAACTCAACTCGACAGCATGAGAGAAAGTCCTGTGCCATTCCCAAGATGATCAGCTTCGGATCAGACGACTGCAATCCACAGATTTTGGCCAAATTCTCCCTCCAACAGATAGAGCACCCCCATCCCCTCTCTTCAAGGCATGGCTCTGCCCTCACCTGGACCCTCAGGGACCCTGGCTTTCTACCCTAATCATGGTGACTTTTTCCTACAAAGACAGCACACTCCCTCTCTGTGAAGTGACAACAGTAAGGATAACAGTCCTAGACACTGCAACACAAACTGCAAACTGAGGGGAACAAAGAGGGGGGAAAGGAAATGGGTGCATCAGCATTAACTTGAACACCATTATCTATCTAGAGGTCTCCACTGCCATTTTTCCCAACTGCTTTTATAAAAATGACACCAACTTATTTTAAGTACAGGGAGCTCTGTGGCACAGTCAGCAAGGAGCTGAGTCAATAACCTAAAAGGCCACACTTCTCTGGTGGTTCAAATCCACCAGCCATCGAAGATGGGCAACAATCCTGCGCAATTTATAACCTTAGAAAACTTGCTGGAGGGTCAGGTAGGGGTGTGTTACAATTTGACCCAAGTATTTTAAGTAATTCAAACAAGACCATAAAGTCCCAAGGAAAAAAGTACAGATCCTTTCAAATGCACCATGCAGCACAAAGGAGGCTTAACATTTGCCAACTGTCACTTTTCATTTCTGAAGGCATCTCCTTCAGTGTCACACTGGGGCTCAGGGGTTCTCTTTTCTTCCTATACCCTGTGATCTCCAGCTACCATGTTGGTAGGTAGTAACAGAGGAAGGATGTGTTCGGGGACTGGGGCAGGGCAGAGAAGGGGTGGGGGCGCAGTTATTTTTATTTTTTTAAGCCTTCTCTAAATGCAGACCAGGATGCCAGAGCTCGGAACACAGTCTCGTTTTAGACAGAGACACATGGATACTACAAATAGCCTGGAAGGCCACGGCTGTACGAGTAACCCGAGAGTAGGGTACATTCCCTGCAGGGCAGCCTCGGGCCCCACTCGGCTGGCCTGCCTGGGCCTGGGTAGGAGGCGGGAGGAGGGGCTGGGGGCTGGGGTCAGATGTCCGCTCCAGCCCCTTTTGGGGCGGGCCCTTGGCCTTCCAGGCAGGAACACCTGTCGGCAGCAGGGGGAGCTGGGCTCGCTGTCAACACCGCATCACTCACGCAGATGATAGAGGGGACTTGCTGGGACTGTACAGAGCTGGGGGGAAGGGGAAGGATAAACCACTTCACTCCACATGTTTCTGACACTTCTCTGTGCTTTTTTAGCACTTGTGCATGAAAGGGTCTTGAAAGGTTTCTTCCCCAGTGCAAGGTAGACCCGTGCTTTGGGGGACCCAGGCTTGCTTGTATCCCCTCAGGGGCTGAGCCTTCATCAGACTCCAGGATCCTCCCATTCCACCACCCCAAACGAACGGCCTTTCTTAGCTCCCTTCAGCTGCATGTGTAGCGGCTACTGGCAGCTTCCAACAGCACGAGTTCCCCTTTGCGTCTGCTGGCAAGCTTGAGAGATCTCTCTAAGATGCTAACAGCCAGCATCCTCAGGCAGGTGTCTCTGGGCTTTCTTGCTAGCTTTTCCACGCATCATCTGGTCCAAGAAACGAAGTCCAAGCCGCTGCCCCTCTAGAGGCCCTGGGCGGCAAGGCCCCCACTCCAGACCTCTCCCCCACCAACCTTCAAGATAATCTTATATATGACTCATAAGGGGAGGCACCCTCCCAGGCTCCAGCGAGCTCTCCACACGCGGGCCTGCAGGGGACCCCCTTCCTGCCCCCCTGAGTCAGCAGAAAAGCAAGAACTCATCTCAGCAGCCCCCAGCCCCCTCCAGCAGCCCCCACCCTTACAGCCGGGAGCAGGCTCCGGCCACAGTGAGGCAGGGCCAAATTTCTTACCCGCTGCCTGCTCTGGGGGGAAGGGAGGGAGGGCGGGAGGCAAAACCTGGACCCGCTCCACCACCCCCACCAGGCTGGGAATAGAAGAAACATCTGTTTGGAGTCTGGAAGCTCCATGAACTCAAACCGCGTGCTGGGAATGCACAGATTTGAACCACTCCAGCCCTCGCTGCCAAGGGAAGCCGTGTTCCCTGAAAGTAGGGAAGGAAGGTCACTACCTACAGCCCAGGGCCTCCTTCTCCCTGCCATGGCCCAGGATCCAGGGCTAAGGGTGACCAGAAGGCCAGAGCATGAGCTGGTACCACTTGGCCCACTGGACCTCCACTATACAGAACCGTGTGAGCAAGGCACAACTTTCCATGATCTGGGGTGGCTGCCAAGTGTGCCCAAGTTTGAGGCCTGACTCCGTCTTCCAGCAGCTGGGCCCACTCTCTGCGGCCACCCCCTCCTCTGCCTCTCTCTGCTCCCCTTGGCTCCCCTTCTCCACCGTCCTGATCCAGTTGCATAACACACTCCGCTCAAAGCTGTTTCTGCAATTAGGATGACAGCTAATCTCAGGCAGCCAAGAAAGAGACGGCGCTTAAAGTATACAAGGAGTTCTTATGACCCCACGAGGGCTGAGAAGCTGAGCACGTCATCCGAGACAACTCAACGGGGGCAAGGCTGAGATTCCAAAAAACTATGAGGCGGAGGAGCCCAGAGCCAACGTCTCGTCTCCATGCTGGCCCCTCAACACTAGACACTGCTCCAAGAGAGGGGCTGGGGGCCAGGGCTACATTACGATGTCTGGGGCTCTAACCTGCTGGCCAGGCTCAGGACTCTGTGAGAGGGCAGGGGCGGGCGGCAGACATGGTTGCCCCACCCAGAACAGAGTGAGGAGCCCGGGTGAACCCTGGGGCTCCACCTCAAGCAGCAGCAGGTAAGGGCCACCTGAGGACATGCGCACTGGGCATTCACATGATAAATGCAGTCTGAGGAAGACAACAGGCTCTGCAGAGGCTTACAGCACAGGGGACAAAGGCAGGAAAGAGGGAGAGGCTGACACACGTCACTTCCAGGAAACAGCTGGGAAGGATCCCTTCCCCCCCCCATCCCTGACCTGTTCCCTTCAACTCCCGCTGCTCAGCACCAGGTCACTGCCCACCCCACCCTTGCCCTGGGAGGCTGTGAGGGACCCAGCAATGGGCTATGGGGCCCTCTGCCTTCTGCTCGGGTTCAGCCAACTGGGGGCACTGGTATGAGGACAGGAAGAGTGGGGCCAGGATCTATGTCCCCACCAGCTTCTCTGCTAAGTCATTCCCCGTTCACCAAAGCACAGCTCCTATCAGATAGTGAGCGCTCCATGAGCAGCTCCTCTCCCCAGACCCGCAGAGCCAGCCCAGGGTGGCTAATGGCCCCCCACTGTGGTTAACTCTGCCTTGTGAGTTTTCTTCCCATCTTTCCACCTTTGTAAAACTCACACAAACTCAAACTCGCTGCTATCAAGTTGGAAGTGACTCGGAGCTGACCCTCCAGCAGGTTTGGTGATGTTGTAAATCATACGGGAAGGAGACTGCCCATCTTTCTCTGAGCTGCTGGTGGGCTCAAACTGGCAGAGAGGCACCACCTTTGTGTTAGCAGTGAAACGTCCTACAAACTATGCCAACAGAGCTCCCTCACCTTTGTAAACAGTTCTTTCATTAACTCTCAAGTACCCGGTTTTAATATTCCACTGGTTCTCTGTCAGACTCTGCTCTGCCAGCTCTCCTCTAACCACAAAAGATCTACTGTGAGAACAAGACTGACCTTAGCCTACACTCAAATCCCATACTGCGAGTCCCAAGCACCTCTGGATCCTGTAAGGCCTCCCCACCCGACCTCCCATGGCTGATATTAAGAAGGTGGGCACTTTCACATGGAACACTAATATTTGTTGTTCTTCCTTGACACTGAATTGGCCCAAAGTTCATGACAACCCCACACACAATGGCAGCAAACACTGCCCAGCCCTGCACCATCCTCACGATCGGCTGCAGATTGAATGTCTGTGGACTACAGGGTTTTTAGGGCTTAACAACCATGAGATGCATGGGCCAGGAACTGAACCCAAGTCTCCAGCATAGAAGGCAAGATTTTTACCACTGAACTGCCATTGTCTCATAATATCACATTTCTCATTACTGTTGAGTCAGAACCAACTCACAGCTGGCTCTCCAGTGGGTTTCTGAAGCTGTAAATCACCCAAGACGTGTACCCATCTTTCACCCAAAGAGCTGCTAATGGATTCAAACCTGCAGACGGCAGAGGCTTTAGTTCTCAGCACAGCTCCCTACAGATTAGACCGCCAGAGCTCCCTAGAAGCCTATCTAGGACACAACACCGACTTAGAGAATTATCAGCTTACCCAAGCAATTGCATCGCTCCAACAAGCCAGGGGGACATGCAGCGCTCCGGGGGACCCTGTCTCACTGCCTCTCCCATTGTGCCTGTAACTGGTCTCCCATCCTAGACAGCTCATCAGAAGCCAAGTTAACTGGTAAAAAGGACAGGCACGCCAGGACAGAGAACAGTTCCATCACTGTGTGCTGTGTGGTCTGGGCAAACGCTACCCATCTCTAGGCCCCAGTCTCCCCACTTGTACAAGGTAGAAAGACCATTCAGCTTCAGGTCCCTCAGTTCTGTGATCCACTGCCTGCATCCTCATTCTTGGGCTCCCTTCCCAGGGCCGAAGTCTGGCTCAAGGGCTAAGCTGGGGGTGGTGGCTACCAGGATCCATCATACTTACTCAGCCATGGTGAAAGCCAGCTCGAAGTTCTTCTGCCGCTGTGTGGGGCTCAGCGCGTTGTAGTCAAATGCATCGGGGAAGAAGGAGTGCACCAGGGCACAGAAGGCCATGCCATCACTCCAGCTGGAGGAGAAGTTCTGCAGGTCCACGTGCTGTAGGGAAGACAATAGTAGAGGTCAGAGTGGCTCCGGCCTCGGCTCCCTGACCCAAGTGTCATCCACCAGCAGGTCTTCCCAGATTCTCTAACCCCCAACTCAACTGAAAGCCATCACCAAGTGCACTAGACTAGCCTGCTCAGATCTGAATAGAGTCCCAGGGACTTCCGTGCACATGCTCAAAGAGCTCAGGACCAAGCCCAAAACAATAGCTCTAGCTGCCATCCCTTCCCCTGGCCTCTGAGGTCCTTGTTCTGGCCAGGGGAGCAAGGGCAGGGGCACCACCTGGTCCAGACTCTTTCCGGGGTCCCCAGGCTCACCTGGTAGCCAACAGTCTTGTTGCGGCACCACTCGAGCAGGATCTGCTTGATGCTGCTGGCGCTGGCCACGCCGAAGCTCTGCGAGCGCTTCAGCTTCGCCCGCGTCTCGCCTTTGCCCCTGTGGATAGACGCACGCCTGCTGGGGTGCTCGCTCCGACTCCCCCACCACAAGAGGCAGGGAGCCCTTACTTGTCGGGGGATCCCACACCACCAGGAAGAGCCCCTGCTTTGTCCACTCAGGGGAGATAAGTATCAGCCGGCAGCTGCCCTGCCTGCACAGGCTCGGGACACGAGCCCTCTAACACCGACACAATCTACTTTGATGACATCTGGGGGGACCCTCCATCCCCAGCCAGGCTTCAAGGTCCCTTGTTTAGTCCTCACTCTGAGAATCAGGGGTCACCTGGAAATCCCGAGACAGAGGGCCTGAGCCAGCATGGTCCTGTCCTGTGGCTCAGGCCATCCTCTCGGCTGAGACACCTGTCCCTTCCTTTCATGCTTCTCTTCTCTCTCCCACCCTTGTTCTCCTTCCCTTCACCCCACTCTCTGGAGCCTTACTCATAAACCCTCCCTCCCCACTAGCCTTTCCTGGCTGCAGTGGACAATCTCCTCTCCTAGATTCCCCCTCAAGGCCACTCCCCAACAGACAAAATTCTCCCAGCTCTGCCTCCCTCACCAGAGAAAGTCAGGGATGTGTGCGGTGCTGGTCTCCACCACACCCCAGGCCTGGGCCTGGCATGAGACAATGTCAGGACCACACACCAGCAGATCTGCCGCACACACACGAAGGCTGTCCTGCTATGGGTGGGCCAGAGGACGCAGGGTCTGGGGCACCAGGGGCGTCACCTCTGTAGGCCGTGGGCAAGTCCCAGCTCTAGCCTGGAGTGCCACATGGCTGCTCTCCAGTCTCCTCCACTAGACCCAGAACTAAAGGAGCTACATCCAATCCACGAGGAGTAATTGTGGGTGTGAGGGCAGGCTAGGACATTAGGGGTACAAGGTATTAGGGGGCTCATGGAATTGGGAGAGGAGATGCAGATCTCACTTGGGCTTGCCTGGCTCCCTGCCCCACAGTCCTGTCCTTTCACAACTGGGGCCACGTGGCGCCTGACCGCCTAGGCCGAGCCTTGATCCTGTGTCAAGTCATGGAGGACCGGCCTCTGGGGAACAGGACAGCCCTGCTATGCTGAGTCAGTCTGACGCCAACCTGAGCCTGGTGTGGGTCTAGGCGCACTCAGCAGGTGAGGGAGAGGGGGCTGGGTCCGCTCCGGGGGTTCTTTCTGGGCCAGGTGTGGGGTAAGCATCCTTACTTGCTGGCTGTATCCTGCTCCCACTTCTCGAACAATGCCTTGCGCGCCTGTGCACCTGAGGTGCGGGGCAGCGTCTGCGACCTCACCAGCTCCCTGCGACGCTCCCCTTGACGATGGACCTGGGTGGTGGCTGGCGGCTGTGGGGATGGGGGTGACTGGGGCGGCGTCACCAGAGGCGGGCTGTGGAGAGAGCAGTTAGTCAAGAGGGAACACAGCTTGTGCCAGATCACACAGGCCCCCAAACGCTGGGCCACCCAGCCACCCCACCCCACGAAACAGTGAGTGTTTGAAACTTGGCGGATGAAGCCGCATCTGTAACTGCAAGTGGGGGGTGTGTCACAATGACCTTCAGGAAACACCACACAGTACAGTCTCCAACCAGTTTGGCAGGTTTTCTGCACTGAGCTGGCGGTCCCAAAGAACAGGTCCTGAGATTCTCAGGGCTGGAGGAGTGGGCCCCTCTCTGGGGACAATCACCCCCTGGTCGATGTCAATGCCTGGATTGAGCAGGGGTACCCTCTCTATGCAGGAGGGGGACCAGAGCCAGTCCGATCTGCCACCACCATTACATAAGACCCCTTTTGTTCTCCCCTGGGGAAAAACTGGCCAGAAGGTCACAATTCCTCTTTTATTTAAAAAATAAAACAAAAACCCCGCCAATCAATGTCACCACCTGCAGCACAGGTCAGCTGGCCTGCAGGAGCAAGTGGACACCACAGGCTACCCCCCTGCTGACCTGCCCCAGCCCCACACCCTGTGGCTTTGCCAGGTGCCTCCTCAGGCCCCAGCGTGAAGAACCCCAGCCTCCAAGGACCCCTCAGCTGCCTGAGATGGAGCAAAATTAAAGAGGGAACCTCCTATCCTCCAATCTTTTCACAGACTTGGTTTTTGAAGGGTCCAGAGAGAAGCCAGCCTCTAGCCTTACTTCTCCAAGCACAACTCTATACCAGTTCCTGCTGCCTCCTTACCCTGATCAAACCCTACCCACCAACCTCAACAGGCTCGGCCCCGGGCCCCTCCCTGGAGGCCCCAACCCAAGGAGCGTGTGTCGACAGCTTCCCCTGGGATCAGCACACGGAGCTCCCTGAAGGGTCTCAGGCCACACAGAGCAGGTGACTCCAGTGGGACCCGAGTCAGAGGTCAGGGGTCCAGACTCACCTGCTGTTGCCCCTGCCTGACGTCACCGCTCCATGGCCAGAATTGGACATTGACCACGTGCAAGAAGAATTCTTCTCTGTAGAACAATAGGAAGGAGAAAAAGTCATTCTTTTCTTCATGAAGGACTAGCCCAGTCTGCTGCCTCCAGCCTGGCCTATCCCATTCCCCATTTCACCCAGCATCAGCCCTGTGGAGGGGCACAAACTTGGGGTGAAGCTGGAAACCCAACAGCCCCACCCAGGACGGACTCGAGGCCAGATCACAGGCCTAGGTCAAGAAGAGGAGGCTGTACCACTGTGCACAGCAAGAGACCACCTTCTAACCGAGCCCGGACCTGTCACAAAAGCAACTGTCACTGCCCCTATTCCCAGCTTTTCTGGGAGAGAAGTTGCCAATGGTGGACGCCACAGATAGAGCTGCAGACTAAGGTCACACACAGGACGGTCACCGCTGTGCTGGGTTTCCTGGGTCTCCAGTCCTCTTCTACCCAGCCCAGCTCTTTCCATAAGAGTCCAGGGCAGGTCTGTGCCCCGTCCACCCTCTCATCTCATACCGCTCGGGCTCGGGGTCCAGGGTGTAGTGGTCTCACTGGGGCTTGGAGTGAAGCCCCCTAGGACAGCAGCAGATGTGGGTGACAGAGCAGAGGTTTCCCCAGAGAACCTCTCAGAGACACGGGTGACGGCAGTGACCGGCTGGTGGGGCAGCCGCAATGAGAGGCTCACAGGACGAGGCTTGGGGGGCTCTGGTGCCGAGAAGGTTTGGAAAGCCTCAGGGGATCCGTCACCTGAGCCTGGAAGATTGACAAGAGGAAAGGGGTTAATTATTGCATCCATCAGGGCTTTAGAAGACCCTACGGAGGGCTCCAGCCTCCCTGAGTCCACCTCCCACTCCAGGGGGGCCTCCAGGATGTCGTGCCATTCTAACTAGAGATAAAGTCTTCTTGAAGTTCCCAAGGGAGCCAGCTTCACTAAATAATAGCTGGCTTGTTACTCTACCTTCTTCAGGCCTTGGATTGTTCCCTCGCCTTTTCTTGCATTCCTCAAGAAATGAGATGCTCACTCCCTTATAGGCTTTCCATTTCCCCTCTGTCTAAAAAGTTCTCCTTTACTGGCATGAGACTGCTCTCCCAGATCAATACTATTTACTCTCTACCCCTCAAGATCAAGGCCAAGGGGTGGCCTGGCCTCGTCAAGGCCCTGAGCCCCAAATCTATCCAGCCATCCCTCCTCTGCCCTCAGCTCTTACCTGCCCCTGGCGGGTGCCCATTCTCAACAACACATGAGTCTGAGGTCCTTCTTGTCTCCAGCTCACTGGACTCATCATGATCCACACTCTGAAGAGACAAGGAATGCCAGGAGCTCAGGTCAAACTCAAGGCCCCTCTCCAGAGCCCCTCTAAGTGGCAGACATGTCTAGGCTCGGCCACTGAGCCTCCAGGATCCTGCCAGCCAAACATCTTGCCTATTTCAACCCAGTACCCAAAGCAAAGGTCAAGGCTGAGGAGTTGGCCAGGCAGGCCTACTCACATCCCTAGACCGAACATGAGGACCAGAGGCCGAGTGAAGGGGTCCTGGCCCCCTGCTTATCTCAACAGAACAAGGATGACAGGGCTGCCTGTGTGTAGGACCAGCACAACGACACAAGATCTTACTGGGACCATGATGGTCATAGTGTCTCTTCACACAAGATGAACCTGGATGCTCAGAGGGCAAGGGCCTAATTGGCTCTGTGGAGCTCTCATCTTCCCATGGGCTCCTGAACCCCCTACTCCAACCCCAAAGTGTTCCGCTTACTGTCAGAAAGATGAAATTCAGAGGAGACACCCTGGGGGTGAATCACCATGAACAGCTCAATGGGTTCCACCAGCTGCCCAATGCAGGTCTATAAGGTCAATGCAGCAATAGGTGGTTGGGCAGGAGGAGGGGGAGTGAGAGCAAGAGCCAGGGAGGTGGCCTGGGGCCCCACATAGGTATCCTGCCACGCCGTCCACCCCACCGTGTGACCAGAGTCAGGACGTGCCCCTCTGGATCTCAGCTGTCCTGCTGGAGGAAGGGGAGCAGGCTATGTCCTGTCTCTACGCCTCTTCCTGGGCATTCCTCATACGACGACTAGCCCCCTTTTACAAACAGGATGAGGGCCTGAGAGGGGAGGGGTGTCCAAGGTCATAGCGTAAAACAGTGAAAAGCAGCTGGATCTGGGGCCAGATGGACGTTCTTCTCCACCATGGCCCTGCTCTCTTCACAGTGACCAGGTGTGGAGTCCACCTGACAGAGGCCCAAAGGCAGGTAGACACCTCATAGCAGGCCAGGACTGAGAGTCCCCAGCAAATGACTCATCTCTCCCTGGACACCTCCAGGCTGGCTCCCTTATCCACAAGGTTCCCAGACAGCTGACAGCCTATCTATGGTCCCAGATGCTCAGCCCCCGCTCCAAACCAGCACAAGAGGACCCACCTTGCCATAGAGGGGGTCAGTGTGCTTGGGGAGTGAGGTCAAGTCAGCATGAGGGTGCTCCAGCAGACCAAGTGTGTCAGAGGGCCAGAGTCAGGTCTGGGGTCAGTCAGGTAGATGAGGAGGAGGAGTCATTTTCAGAGGACTGACTGTTGTTGTTGTTGTTAGGTGCCATCAAGTCAACTCCATCATACACACACACACACACACACCCCACACAGTGACCCGCGGTGCACAGCAGAATGAAACACCGTCTGATCTTGACTCATCCTCACAACTGCGGCCAATGATACAGCCACAGTGCCAATGTCTTTCCCTAGAGACCGCCCCTTCCCCACCTCCCGCCCTTGAACCAAAAGTGCAGCCATTAGGCATAATGTCTTCTGATCATGCATAACTGGAACCTGGGTGGTGGGCAGCCCATGTCCAGGGAGAGACCATTCAGCAGTCCAAGGTGCCAGCATACAGACTGAATAGATACAGTGAAAAGAGACAACCCTGATGCAAACCTTTCCCAACTGTAAAACTATTTATGCACTATCCCCTTGTTTGGTGTGAATAATTGCTTCTTTGTGCTTGTACAATTTACACACAAACACAATTAAGTGTTTGCCCACTCCTGTTCTTCAGAATGTTATCCATAATTTACTATGATCCAAAGAAACAAATACCTTTGCATTGTCAATAAAACACAAGTAAACATCTTTTTTATATTCTCCGCTTTCAGTCAAGATCCATTTGATATTAGCAGTAACCTCTTCTGAGTCCAGCTTGAATATCTGGAAGTCCTCGATCGATACGCTACTCTAGACCTATTTTGAATAATCTTCAGCAAAGTTTTACTTCCATGGGGTATTAGTGATATTGTTTGATAATTTCTACATCTACATTCTATATATGATCACCTTTTGGGGAATTGGAACAAATATGGATCTTTTCTAGACAGTTGGCCAGGTAGCTGTCTTCAAATTTCTTGGCAGAAATTACTGAGCACGTGTTTGAAAGCAGTACCAATTGAAACATATCAATTAGTGTTCTAAAAATTCCTAGAGACTTATCTTCTGCCAAAGCCTGCAGTGCAGCCTAGACTTTTTCCTTCCTCGCCACTTCTTTATCATATGCTACTTCCTCAAAGTATCCCTTTTTTTTGAACAGTGATTCTGTGTATTCCTTTTTTTTATGTTTCCTGCTTCATTCAATATTTTGTCCACAGAATCTTTTCATATTATTATTCAAAGTTAGAATTTGCTCTTTAGTTCTTTCAGCATGAGAAATGCCAAGTGTGATATCAAGAGTTTACTGTGCAAAATGGCCTTCTCAGCCATTGACTTTGACTTTGACACATGGCAGAGCGACATCATGCAAACGCGGTGTGTTTGTCTCTTCACAGGGTACTGGCTAGTTTGACCATCCCGAGAGTTTTAAATCAAGTGGTTTCAGAAGCAGAAATTAGAAATCTCAACACCAACCAAAAAAGATAAAGCAGGGAATGCATCATGCTTCCTTTGGGGCCTGAGATTCTTGTGGCAGCCAGAGTGATATCTACATAAGAACAATAGCAGCCTCAGCAGAGAACCAGAGACCAATAAGAGATAGAACTGACTTGGGACTGCTGCCCCATGGAGTCTGAGCCAGAAGCCTTCACCCAAGCTTGGTGAAGGATTGAGGGAAGACATTATAGCTGTCAGGATTAAGGCAACTTTGTTAACACTGACCTAAGCCATATGCTGAAGGTCAAAGACTGAAAACATGCCTGAGAAGTTGTCTGGACTGAGGGACTGTATCCTGCTGCCAACCTGAATTAGCTTCTCTAATAAAACCCCATAACTGTGAACATGGTTCTGGGACGCCTATGTGGTCATTACAATGGATTTCAGACCTAGTAGAGTAGTTAAGACTGGTGTTGGAATTAGCAGAAGTGTGGAAGACCATGTCTGACCCAGCAGTTAGTTTTGTACCGTGGGTACTATTGATAGGGACAGTTTCCTTTTGAGGAAATAGTAGAAGTCAGACTTGACCTTCCCCACCCCGAGAATGTTCTCCCCTTCTGGCTTTCTAACTCCAGGTTTTTGCTTTGTCTTCTCAAACTGCCCTTTGATATCTTCTATTAGGCTCTTTTATGTCATCACTTCTTCCTTTTACTTTAGCTTTTCTACCTTCTACAGCAAATCTCAGAGTCTCTTCTGACATACAGTTTGGTCTTTTCTGTCTAACAAAAAGACTAAAAAGTGGTGCCATTGTGTGGAGACAACTGAAGTCTGAAGCTTAAAAGAAGGGACAAAAGTTGGAGGCACGAGAGTCATGGTGTCCAGCTGGCTCCCAAAGCCCAGAAGGAACTACTGGCTTGGGACTAATTGAGGGTTTGCAAGGAGACACTGAGGAGATCCCACATGTAAGAAACAGGAAACAAGAGAAGCATCGATGGGAAAGAATTAGAAGATGCAGCCAAAGAGGCAGGGAGAAAGCTAGAGGAATGTTAAGAATGCCAGGTGAGAAAGCGTATCAACATAGTAAGAGTGCTGACAGAATCCAGAGTGGTAAGAGTTAAAGACAAAGAGAGTCAATATCTTAAAGGTGTTCATTGGGCTTAGCAGAGGGCATGGTGATAGTCGCAGGGCTAAACTGAAGGTGTGGTGGGGGCAGGAGACAGAGGGGGGTGGAGCTGAGGAGAAAGGAAGTGACACTGGATCTAGACAAAATGGAATCTACCTTATTCCTGAAAAGGCAGGAGGGGATGGGAAAGGCGTGTATGGGGGTTTTCCATATGGGAGAGAAGAGAACACATTTCTAGGCTAAGAGGAAGACTCCAGCACTGTGGAAGGAGCCCTGATGAGACAGGGCTCCCAGAGAGGAGAGAAAGGACAGAACCCAGAGTCTGGGAGGAGCCTGGCCTTGGAAAGGAAGCAGACCCCTCGCTTCTGACTCAGAAAAAAGGAGGTGAAGAAGCGAGGGATCCCTGCAGAAAGAGGATGGCGCTCGAGAGCCACACTGTGGCTGACTGGAAGCCAACCAGGACAGGAAGGAGAACCAAGCAGGCCATCCCAAACCTTGGGCCCCACCTGTCACCAGGGCAGCCTCTGCTCTGGGGTCTCTGTATCCCCTGACCCACCCAGCTCAGGTCCAACAGGTTCCACAGGTCCAGACAAGAGCCTGGAGGGACAAGCTGATGGCGAAACCATTTTCTCAAGAATGTGGGTCTCTGGGCCTCCTCAATATATATACACACCCACCCACCTGTTTCTGCACGTTCCAAGCCCCATGACCTAGTCCTCATGAGGGACCGACAAGAACACCACAGGACTGGAAATAGGTGCTGGAGCACCTGGGTTCCTGCCAAGGGGAGGGAAGGTGCAGGGGATAAGTCAAGCTGGGAGGCTAGGGTGTGAAGCTGACTCTCAGGGGTTCCCTTCCCCTCACTCCACCCCCTCTGAAACTAAGACTACTCCTCACCAAGCAAAGGGGCTCTGCCCACACCCATCCCTCAGCCAGCAAAAGAACCATTCAGAGACCAGCCTCCAAGACATCAACACACAGACTGGAGGGATGAGTCAGACTGAGTCTACGCTGGGGGCTCGGGTTTCCTACCACACCCCAGGGCTCTATCCACCAAGCTCTCTGGGTTTTTAGAGGGCAGAAAGGACTGGCAAGACACACCTGTCATCCAGAACCTGGGTCAAGTGAGACCTGGTGCCCCTTGCACTGGTTTTTGCCAGGTTTGTTGTTGTTAAATGCTGTCGAGTATGACTCATAGCGACACTATGAACAACAGATCTGAACCTGGTCCTATCCTTTGCCATCTCAAGATGGCACAGGACTAGCCAGCGCAGAGGCTAGGGAAGGAGTGACTACCTCAGCTAGACTTGCTAGAACAGAGTCTTTAAGTC